CGGGCAGCAGCGCGCGCAGCAGCGGCAGCTCAGCTTGCGCAGCATCCAGTTGAGCACCTGCTTGATGAGGATGGAGATGACGTTGAAGAGCGAGTAAATGCAGCACACGCCGAGCAGGATGAAGAGGAAGTTGCCCAGGCGGTAGAGCCCCTGGTTCCGGTAGGCGGCGTGCTGGCTGCTCACCAGGTCCCCGAAGCCGATGGTGCTGAAGGTGACGAAGCAGAAGTAGAGCGAGTCCACGTAGTCCCAACCCTCCACGCTGGTGTACATGGCCGAGGCGCAGCACGACAGCAGCACGGCGAACAGGCCCAGGATGAGCAGCACGTGATACACCGAGGGCTTCCAGCCCGCCAGGCTGTCGGCCTCCGAGAGCGCGGAGCCACGGCGGAAGGTGGCGGGCAGCAGGCCGCTGCGGCGCAGCTGACGCTCCCGGCAGGCGCGCATGATGAAGGCCAGCAGCGAGATGATGCGCTCCAGGAAGAGGTTGAAGAACAGGATGGTCCCGGCGCAGCCGAACAGCCCGTAGGCGATGAGGAAGGCCTTCCCGCCCACCGTCGCGGGGGTGGTCATGCCGAAACCTGTGGAGACAGGGCAGGGTCAGCGCGGTCCTGGCCGCGCAGGTGGTCCTCACTGGACGTCAGGGGGGACGGGGGCGGGGGCATGCAGGTGCTTGCATGGCTCCTATCTCCAGTGGCACCACTCAGGTAGAGGAAAAACAGCACTTAGTCATTTCTCTCCCTTGGTGGCACCTGACAGGGTTCTTGATCTTGGCAGCCCCTAAACTGATGGAGGAGACATGGCCCTTCATCTTGGGGACCTGTAAACCCAAGTGGGTGGGGCAGGTAGTCGCTAGGAAGGATCCATCATGACAAAAAATAGAAACCACTGCTGCACAGGTGCAAACCACTGAGATACCCACAAAGCCAACCAGGGACACCTGCTCTCCCACTCCTCCAAATTGTTTAAAAACTGTCATTTAGTTCATAAATACATTAATATACTAGAGTAGGTGAGTTTTGTTGGGTGAATTACAAATATTTACATTAGAAATCAAAACCAACATAGATCTCTTCAAAGATATCTAGCTGCTTATGTGCTTGTGCACTTTTTATACCAGTCTCGTTACTTGGAAACTCCACTGCCTACTTGAGAATGATGAAAAAAGCCAAGTAATCTTAGTGCTGTGACTAATTTTCACTTCACAGGCACTTCGAAAAGGCCTTTGCTCAAAGGATCATATTTTCTTTTTGGCTGGGGGGACAGGTTCTTTGTCACCCAGGCTGGATGCAGTGGTACAGTCATAGCTCACTGCAGCCTTAAACTCCTGGGCTCAGGTGATCCTCCTGCCTCAGCCTCCCAAGTGATAGGACTGCAGCTGTATGCCACTATGTCCAGCAAATTCTTTGTTATTTTTCTAGCGGCGGAGAAAGGACCATATTTTCTTAGTCTGCCAACATTTCATGCCTCTGGAATTGGGCATAAGGCCAAGTGGGTAGTCCGTCACTTCCCTAGTTCTTACAATGTGAATATGGGGTGACAAGAGAATGTGCATTTCAAATCAATTCCCAGATGACTCCAAAGTCTTTCACACTAGAATAGCAGGCTTTTCTGTTTAAAGGGCAGTTTTTAAAGAGTTGTCATATGTGCCCAATTTTTTTCTCAAGTGTGCCATAGATTTTCAGTCCCTCCCTGTTATTAAAAAAAATCGGTTTACCAACTCTGCCTACTAACGAAAGGACCCCAAAATTAAGTGTCAATGCTCAAAAGTCAACTGCAGCTCCTCTTCTTTCCTCAAGTAAGTTATTTGGAATTGGAATGAATCCAAGCTGAACAACTGTTGACTATGAGTCTTTCTCCAAAAGCCTGGTTTTTAAATGTAACCTGTAGCACACCTGGGCGGGCAGCCTTGTTAGGGAAGCATTAATAGGGCTTTGCCTTAATTGGGACTGCTTACTCTGGGACCAGGTAGAGTGTAACCAGGTAGCTAGAGTTAATGGTCTCTGAAAAGAGCTTTGTGAGGCTGACAAAAGGATTGTTTGAGAGTAGTCAACCCACACCCTTCAGAGACTGAGCATGGCTCTGCCATTGGGTGCCGGCCCCTTCTCAACCAAGGGTCACCATCAATCATCCTTGCTCACACTTGTGGCCAAAGAAAGGCTCTGGCCCAGCTGGGTCCTGTGCTGCTGGTATGTCTAAAATTGCTTTGTTCTGGGAGGTCTACACAACTGCGTATTGCTTCAGGCCCTTATCGTTGTTAACTTACCACTTGTTCAAAGCACAGACTTTAAGGGTGTCTTTATCAATTGATTTCTGCAGAAGGTGTGGCTGCCTGCCAGTGTGCTCACCCATGCCATCCAGGGCAGTGCAGAGTGGCAGCTCTGCCTCTCCAGATTGAGCTCCCTGCCTAGTGCTGGCTGTGGTCTGTGGGACCCATGGTTGCCTGACTCTGGCTATGGGAGGGGGTTTCATCTCTTAGTGGAAAGATTCACTTACTGCTTCGAGTCAGCTGAAAACAATGGATCGTTTGTCTGAGCAGCACCATGGTACCGTTCAACACCTCTGGCAGTGATCAGGGGCATCCGTGTTTAATTTGTGCCCTATGGCAAAAAGGCTACCTGTGCCCTGCCAGTGGGGTGGGGCCAGCCCTGGGAAAGTGGAGAAGAGTTTGTCTTATGTGGCTTTCTAGTTCTCTAAACAGACTATAGAAAATATTTCTTGTAATACTTTCAGAGTACATTCCTTAAGCCTATGCATATAGGCTTAATCATTTTCTAGACTATCTGAAGAAAATGCCCAGTTGCTGAGCGTGGTGTTCATCTTATGCTTAATGACTCAGGTTAGGGAAAAATCTTAGGTTACCCATGTTGAGGAAGATGAATTATGTCCCTAGATTCACAGAAAGTGAAAAAAACCAAAGTAGCTATGTAACCAAGAACTTGATAGAGGGATTTTGCTATATTTTAAAGCCACACTCAAGTTCTTGAGTTTATAAAGAAATCAACTCTGAATTTACATGGCTATAAGTGGAGTGGGAGTGTATGTGTATATTTATAAAACGTTTTAGACCAATAACCTAAATGTCTAACAACACAACTAAGTGATTGTCTATTCATGAAAACTATACAGCAATTAAAAAGCATGAACCGGCCGGGCGTGGTGGCTCAAGCCTGTGATCCCAGCACTTTGGGAGGCCGGGATGGGCGGATCATGAGGTCAGGAGATCGAGACCATCCTGGCTAACACAGTGAAACCCCGTCTCTACTAAAAAATACAAAAAACTAGCCGGGCGAGGTGGCAGGCGCCTGTAGTCCCAGCTACTCTGGAGGCTGAGGCAGGAGAATGGCGGGAACCCGAGAGGCGGAGCTTGCAGTGAGCTGAGATTGCGCCACTGCACTCCAACCTGGGCGACAGAGCGAGACTCCGTCTCAGAAAAAAAAAAAAAAAGCATGAACCATAGCTACTTGCAACAACACGGATAAATCTCACAAAAAGAATGTTGAACAAAATAAGCTGGACACAAAAGAATATATTCTGCATTATTCCATTAATATAAAATTCAAAATCAGGCCAAAGTACAGCCTTTTTTAGGGAGGCATGCATGGTTGGTGAAATTATAAGGGAAAGCAAGGAAGTAATTTTGATAAAAGTCAGAATTGGGACTTCCTCTAGAGCATGGCAGGGGGTAGTAGCTGAGAGGGGACACAGGGGACCTCTGGGGTGCTAGAAATGTTTCTGTTGACCTGGGTGGTAGTTACATGTGTGTTAGCTGTATAATAATTTGTCAAATTGTATGTTTTGTGAGTTTTTTTGTACTCACAATGAGAAAAAAATTTTAAATTTCTAGACTGTTAGAACTCTCAGATACCCAATTCTGACGTACCCCTCACTGTATAGGTGAGGGAGTAGGGGCTGAGGGGCTGTGACCTGCCTCTTGGGGACAGACTCCCACCTCTTTGTCCTGGCTTCAAGCCTGGTACATAGACCAGTATACAGAACACTGCATGTACTCACTGAGGGAAAACAAAATCTCTTATAGAAGGATAACTCTGTTAAATTCCTAAGGTAATTGAAAATCCTGGGCCTGGAAAACTAGTACTTTGTCTAAGAAAATGTTGAATTGGATTTTTCAGCTAAAGCCTCAAAGCTGAGAACAGTATGTGTACATTTCTGCCCATTCTAAAGAGAAGTTCCAGACACATCCATGCTGGACTCACTAAAACAGCAAAACAGGTCTGGGGCTAGCAACCCCCCACACGCCCACCTCCAGGCTATACGGAAAGGCTAGGGATTGATGGAATCTCCCATCAATTGGGAAGTCATTGTGGGGAGTTGTTGTGGCAGTGGGGAGTGCTGTGGATTCTTTCACTCACCCCCAGGCCAGGGGATGGCTGGAGCAGGGAAGGTCAAAAGGACTAATGGGGCCGGGCACCGTGGCTCACGCCTGTAATCCCAGCACTTTGGGAGGCTAAGGCAGACGGATCATGAGGTCAGGAGATCGAGACCATCCTGGCTAACACAGTGAAACCCCGTCTCTACTAAAAAATACAAAAAATTAGCCTGGCGTGGCGGCGTGCGCCTGTAGTCCCAGCCACTCGGCAGGCTGAGGCAGGAGAATGGCATGAACCTGGGATGTGAACCTGGGAGGCGGAGCTTGCAGTGAGCCGAGATCTCGCCACTACACTCCAGCGTGGGCGAGAGAGCGAGACTCCGGCTCAAAAAAAAAAAGAGGGCTTATGGAGCTTCAGCAAGAAGAAAGCCCAGCAGCTCACTTCCCAGCTGGCTGGGCACAGTCGCTTACAGGCCCACCTAGAATGGAGCATGGTGAGAGTCCTGGGAGAACCCGGCAGTGTCCCCTGGAGTCCAGAGCTGTGCTCGAGAGTTCTCTGGCTGGGAGGCTGACTGGGGTAGCCCCCACAGGCACGGGAGGAAGAGGGCAGTCACGGGAGCCATCTGCACTTCAAGGGCTTGCTGCATCAGGAGGCGTGAGGGTGACATGGGTCACTAGAGGGTGACAAGTGGATACTGAGAGGAAGAGATCTGAAGAGTCTGCTCAAGAGGACCGCCTGCTGGAGTAAGGGGTCCCTAGCAAGAAGAGGCTGAGGGGCAGAGGGCTGGGGATGGCATGAGAAGGAGTCACAGGAGGAAGGATGGAGAGGGCAGTGCCCGCTCAGGGAATGGGGCAGGGAGTGGTCCCTGTGCAGGGCTCCCAAGGACCCATAAATAGGCGCCATGAAAGCACATATGCCTGTTCTAACAGGGAGCCTTGCAACCCCACCAGCAAAAGTTAAGAAGGAATGATAGTGGCTCCAGTGATGCAAGATCACCCCCATGCCCCATCCACTGCAGGTCCCCTGAGCCATGTGTCAGCCTGGACCTAGAGGGGGAGGCTAAACTCTGATTAGAAGTGAATTTGAAGATTTGATTAAACATCTGAGAATGTCTCAATCTTAAAACTGGTACTTAACAACAACAAAACAGGCTGGGCGTGGTGGCTCACGCCTATAATCCGAGCACTTTGGGAGGCCAAGGTGGGCAGGTCACCTGAAGTCGGGAGTTCGAGACCAGCCTGACCAACATGGAAAAACCCCATCTCTACTAAAAATACAAAAAATTAGCTGGGCATGGTGGTGCATGCCTGTAATCCCAGCTACTCGGGAGGCTGAGGCAGGAGAATTGCTTGAATCTGGGAGGCAGAGGTTGTGGTGAGCCGAGATCACACCACTACCCTCCAACCTGGGCAACAAGAGTGAAACTACATCTCCAAAAAAAAAAAGGAAAGAAAAGAAAAGAAAGACACTGGCTGAGTGTGGTGGCTCACACCTGTAATCCCAGGCGGATCACTTGAGGCCAGGAGTTCGAGACCAGCCTGGGCAATTTGGCGAAACCCCGTCTCTCCTAAAAGTACAAAAATTAGCTGGGCATGGTGATGTGTGCTTGTGATCCCAGCTGCTTGGGAGGCTGAGGCATGAGAATCGCTTGAATTGGAATGAGCCAAGATTGCGCCACTGCCCTCTAACCTGGGCGACAGAGCGAAACTCTGTCTCAAAAAAAAAAAAACAAACAAAAAAACGCAAAACACAAAAAGACATAAAAACCAACTATTTGGAAAACTCTAGCGTCTACCTAAGATGTTAAGGAATCTAAAAAGGAGTTCTTGAGGACAATAGATGAGACAAAGCCATTTCCGGTGTTGGCCCATTTAATAAACTGGTTCCACCTGGATTTTCTCTTTACTGTGGTGAAAGCCACCACCTAACAGTGCATCATCGCATGTCATCATGACAACCTGTGGGGGAGGCCAGCTCCATTCAACACATGTGGAAACTGCAGGTCAAAGGGTGAAGCAGTTGCGAAGGCCCCACAGCTTGCAAATGGTGGAGCTGAGATTGAAACCCAGGTGTGCTAGCATCTAAAGTTCATGCTCTTTCCACCACACTAGACTGTATTCTGAGGGCACCAAGGAAGCTCCGTTTTTCTTAAAAACCAAATTGCAGTCCTCCAGGGCCACAGCCCGGGAGCATCTTCGTGGGAGAGCGGCTGCTGCTCAGAGTTGTGACTCCCATCCTTAAGAGTCCTCTGTCCTCTCTGGCCCCCTTTCTACTGATCATTGCTGCCCCCTTCACAGGGGAGAGAGGCCATGGCCTGTCCCCTAAAGAGTCTGCCAAGGTAGACTCATGACCTTCCCATGGCACAGCTCAGACAAGCTGGGCTATTTACATAAGACTTGACCCAGGGCTTGGGGACAGCAGGAGGAATGAGGTGCAGAGGAGACTCCTGCTTCTGGGTGACAGTCTGCCTGGTTGACTGCAGCCGGGGTGCTTATTGGCCTCTTGGGGCCCCCACAGGCCTGCCCTGCCTGACCTACTTTCGTGAGGCCGAGGCCATCTCCTGCACTCTCTGGGGGCCTCTTCTGACTCCTCTAAACTCTTCCATGTCTGGACTTCTGGCTTCTGCCCAAGGCCATCTATTGGAGTTTGGGTTTCCAGTTGAGGATCTGCCTTTTTCCTGGATGACCAAACCTAGAATGAGACCGGCCTCATGCTCCGTCCTCACAGGGCTGTGGCTTTATCCGAGGGCCTCAGCAAGGCAACCAACACCAGACATGAAGCTGGTAAGACCAACATCCACCTATTCATTCCTTCAGCAAACATTTACTGTGGCCAGCATCAGGTTGGCAGCATCATGCTAGGCTCAGGAATATGGTGGAAAACCAGACAGATGCAGTTCCCGTCCTCATAGTCTCTGGGCTGCCTTCCTAGAGGCCCCTCACTGGGTTTCTTAGCAGTTTTGTACAGATCCTGTCCCCTTTGCTGCCAGCAGGCTCACCCCTGGGACAGGGCACATAAACTCTGGGCCAGAACTTGTCCTGGAGTCCTCTTACGGCCCTGACTCAGCTTGCATTCAGCATAACTTAGACAGGGAGTGCTGCAGGCCCCAAATGATGCTAAATACTAGACTGGCTGTGTAGCACCATCTGCCCAGAATGAAGGGACAGGTGGGCCAGAAGGGTCTCTGACAGCGCAGAGGGCAGCCAGTGAAAGCGTCCTTACTGTCCTATTCCTGAGGTCTCTCTGTGCCTGCTTTACTGCCCTTCGCTTTCCTACAGAGCACACTCAGTTCAGCCTAGGAGACGAAGTGGGGGTGGAGGACGGTCCATCTTCTTCCACATCAAGGTCAGTAGGTTCAGAGCACTGGGGGATGCTGGGACAGGCTTCCTGCTGAGGGCACTGGGGCCTATGCTTGTGCCACCGCCTAGCCAGTTGCCTCCCAGGGTAGAAGAGCAGTCTCCCAAGCTCTTGCCATTTGTGGGGAGCCAAGCTGCTCTGGAGGGGGGCCTCAAAGCTTCAGCCAGAGAAAAGGCAAACCCAGCCACCCTGAGAATCTCCTCCTCCCGCTCAATCACACCCTGCAGAGGCGTAATCTGTCCCTGGGTTCGCACCAAGCCTGCTATTTTGTTTATGCCACAATTGATCTGCCATCCCAGTTTGCAAAGAGCAGACACTTGGGGGCTTTATTATGCCACTTTGACAAAAGCTGTGAAGCTCGTTCCCACAGCCTGTCTGGTGCCGCCTTCGCAAATGGGGCCCTGGTGACGGGGCCTTCGGAGTTCAGCTCAGAGAGCATGGAAGTGAGATGGAGAGGCCAGCACTGATCTGTATCGTGCAGCCCTGGGCGGCAGCCTCAGTTGGGCCCTTGACACACTCCTCCCATCCAGGCCCCCAGCCACCCTGTGAGGGAGGCACTATTACCCCCAACAATGCAGGCAAGGAAACGGGCTGAAGGAGGGGACGGATTCACTGAAGTTAGTTTGCACGTGGCTGAGCTGACCCTGAAGTGCATGCTCTTTCCACTTGCTGGACAGATGGGAAGTCTTGACTCATTACCCACTGGAAACTTTTCCTGCTGGGCTCTGCACTGTCAACTGTGAGAGAGGGAAATAAAACATACTGTACAGTCCAATCTGGGATACTTCTGAGAGTGAAAGTGGCTCTACTAGTAACTACCCCAGGACAGCATGTATAAACCAGGGCTGTTCCAAGCAACTGGGACGCATGATTAAAATGCAGATTCCAGCCGGGCGCGGTGGCTCAAGCCTGTAATCCCAGCACATTGGGAGGCCGAGATGGGTGGATCACGAGGTCAGGAGATCGAGATCATCCTGGTTAACATGGTGAAACACTGTCTCTACTAAAAAATACAAAAAAACTAGCCGGGCGAGGTGGCAGGCGCCTGTAGTCCCAGCTACTCAGGAGGCTGAGGCAGGAGAATGGCATGAACCCGGGAGGTGGAGCTTGCAGTGAGCTGAGATCTGGCCACTGCACTCTAGCCTGGGCGACAGAGCGAGACTCTGTCTCAAAAAAAAAAAAAAAAATGCAGATTCCATGGCAGGTCCCGCACAGAGGTTTATTTAGTGGGTCAGAAAAGGAGCCTAGGAATTTCATTTTAACAAATGTGCCCAGATAAATCTGATGTAGGTGGAATATTCCTTTAAGAATGCCATTCTTTTAAGAAATAATGTTAATAAGGTATTCCAGATGACCCTATTGGTTGGAATCTGTCCAACTACAAATATTTTGATTTAAATTTCCATTGACCTAAAATTTTTGTGGTGGGCACTGTGGCTCTCTCCCTACCAATCATTCTGCCAACCTGTACTATGTTGAGCAGCAGCCAGGCTACTTGAAGAAGTGACCCAACTCCAGGAATGGGCTCTATTAGTCTCGGTCAATCAGGATAATCCAGTTCCTTACCATGATTGGCTCAAGGATGGGTAGACCTAAGTCAATCAGTGCAGAGCATTTTCATGGCTACAGAGAAGCCATGGGAAGGCTGAGGCGTGGACTCAGTGGGCAGGGATGGAAAAAGACTCAGAAATACTGGGCCATGGCTCATGGCTCATTAGGGTTGCCAGGTAAAATACAGAACACCCAGTTAAATATGACTTTTGGGTAAACAAGAAACCATTTTTTAAGCATAAGTCCCAAATATTGCATGGGACATACTTATGCTAAAATATAGTTGATTATCTGAAATTCAAATTTCACTGGGCATGCTGTCTTTTTATTTCCTAAACCTGGAAACCCTACTCATGACCCCAGTTGTCAGCTTGGTACACTCCTCTGAGAAGCTTCTCCCAATATCCCCATCTCATTTGATCCTTCCTGACTGGCCAGTGTTGGGATTAAGAGCCTCACTTTAATAATCAAGGACCCAAGGCTCACACAAGGGTGAGCCCTGCCCAGCCAGGCCAGCGGCCAGGCCTTCCCATGTCCCTCTCTCTCCGAAAAGGGAGAAGTGGGAGATGTGGGGAGGGCTGTGGGATGGAGGGCGGGGCTGCCAACAGCCTGCTCTGTGGCTGGAACTGCGACATCGCCTCTCCGGGAGTAGGAGGGGCTTCTGGCCAGACTCAATGTGGGAGGACTGGACACTTGAGAGGGCACTGGGCCAGAGACTGCCCTGGGATATGTGCCCCAGCCTTGGTACCTCAGGGATGCACATGTCAGCTTTCTCCATGTCACACCCCTGGGGAGGACAACCGACCACCCTGGACAAGCCCTGAACCTTTTGGGGGAGCTGGTGCTAAAAGAATGGCTGGAGAAGTCATTAAAGCACTTACTGAGGACTGAAAATGCGGAGGGGATAATAACCGCTGCTGTGTATTGAGCCTCACTATTTCCATGCACCGTGCCAAGTGCTGCAAGCGTATCGATTCATTTAATCCTCACAACAACTACATGAGGCTCCGTGTTTTCATTGATTCCAAGCCACAGCTTTTTTCATCTCATGTTAATATCTCTGAAATCATGCATCTTACAGTCAATGGCCTGATTGTTTATTTGGCAGTATTTTAAATTCTTAAAGGTACATACCATGATGGTGTGTTTATAACCAATAGTGTCTTAGTTTTGATGAACTACAGTGGGGATGATTATTGTCCCCAGTTGTGAGATTAGTAAACTGAGTTGCATTTAACAGATAAAGATGTTGAAGTTCAGTAACTTGCCCGAGGTCACAAAGCAAAGCACATGGCAGAGATTTGAAACTAGAGGAAGGAGTGTACAGTGTGGTAAAGGAAAGCAGCAAATATACAAGAGTTTGGAAGAAGGAGAGGTAGGTTGCTTTTGGCAAGAGCAGAAATTCTCAATTCTGGCTGCACAATAGAATCACCTGGGGAACTGAAAACAATCCCCAATCCCCAATCCCCGGGTGCATCCAGACCAGCTTAGGTCAACATCAGAGCTGAGGCCTTCCTGGTGGAATGATTACGAAGGACATATGGAAGAAGAGATACTTGTGTTTAGTCTTAACAATTGGGTGGGGCCGGGCACGGTGGCTCACACCTGTAATCCCAGCACTTTAGGAGGCTGAGGCAGATGGATCACTGGAACCCAGGAGTTCAAGACCAGCCTGGGCAGCAGAGTGGGACCCCATTTCTACAAAAAAATGTGAAAATCAGCTGGGCGTGGTGGTGTGTGCCTGTGGTCCTAGCTACTCAGGAGGCTGAAGTGAGAGGATGGCTTGAGCTCTGGAGGTCAAGGCTGCAGTGAGCCATGACTGCACTATTGCACTCCAGCCTGGGTGACACAGCAAGGCCCTGTCTTTAAAAAAAAAAAAAAAAAAATTAGGTGGGATTTCAAGAGATTGACAGGGAGCAGAGGCCGAGGCTTGGGAAAGGTGTCCCCTGCTGGGAGAGTGTAGTGCCCAGGGCCATTGGGCAGAGCGAGGGGGTTCAGCCTGCTGGTGAAGCCTGGCCCATAGGAAACGTCCAGTGACTCTGGCTGACGGAGCAGGGAAATCTGTGGAAGAAGGCAAGGGACAATGCTGGTGAGGCAGGAGAACAGGGAATTGGGGTAACCAAAGGTTAAGGCATAAGAACAGTGGGTGCAGCCAGTTCTAGGCAAGATTAGGCAGCACGCAGGCCACACCCTCACTCCTGTGATAACAAGACGGAAGTTTCCACTTCAGCCTCTGATTGACTGTGGGCCAAGCTGTCACTTCAGCCTCTGACTGACTGTGGGCCAAGCGGTCACTTCAGCCTCGGACTGACTGTGGGCCAAGCTGTCACTTCAGCCTCTGATTGGTCACGGGCCAGTCCTTCATAGGGTGTAACTAACCCTAGGCCTCTAAAGGGTACCTAGGGGTGCTAGCAAATTCTTTTAGCTTTATAAAAACCCTGGGGAGAGGCGGAGGTTGCAGTGAGCTGAGATCACATCACTGCACTCCAGCCTGGGTGACAGAGCGACACTCCGTCTCAAAAAAAACCCCCCAAAAACAAAAAACAATATTCATTCAGTCAACAAACATTTATTTGCACATGATGTAGCAGGCTGTCATAGGCATTAGGGATACAGCTTTAAACAAAGCAGACAACATTGACAATTCTGGAGCACACATTCTAGTAACAATAAACACATTTGTAAACAGCATGAAAAACCAACAAAAACCCTGGGGAGCACTGCAATAGAGAGGCTCTTGGGCCACCTGCTTAAGTCGGCTCCCACTCTGTGGAATGTACTCAATAAATCTGTGCTTTCATTACTGCTTTTTTTTTTTTTTTCTTTTAAGTGTATTCTTTGAGACAGGATCTTGCTCTGTCACCCAGGCTGGAGTGCAGTGGCATGACCTTGGTTCACTGCAACCTCTGCCCCCTGGGCTCAAGTGATCCTCCTGCCTCAGCCTCCAGAGTAGCTGGGACTACAGGCACCCACCAGCACACCTGACAACCGTTCTTTTGTTGCTTTGTTTTTCATTGCTTTATTCTTTCGTTGCTTTGTAAGGTTTTTTCTATTCTTTGTTTAACATGCCAAGAACCCGGACAACTCACAGCCAAGGCCTTCCATCTGGTAACATTGGGAGCACCTCCTAGCTTCCTTGGACTCAAGCTGACCCTACAGGAGCTTTGTGGAGTGAGCATTGCCTGGCACTTTTAGGTGGCAGCGTCCAAGCCTAGCACCTGACATTGTGCCCTGCTCTGTAGAAACTTCTAGGCTCTGGTAAGCCTCATGCTCAGAAGACAAACTCAGCAAGTCCTCACTCCTGCAGGCTTGGGAAGGGCCTCTCTTGGAGAGCTGAGAGCAGAACTAGGAACAGGGGTGGTGGTGTCAGGCTCTGGCGCCTCCGCCTGCTGAGGGGGTGACACGGACACATTCCTTACTTTCTCTGATCCTCGCTTCTCCTTCTAAAAATGGCCCAATGCCCTAGCTTATTTATTTATTTATTTATTTATTTATTCATTCATTCATTCATTCATTTTTGTTTTTTTTGGGACAGTCTCACTCTGTCACCCAGGCTGGAGTGCAGTGGCATGATCTCGGCTCACTGCAACCTCTACCTCCCAGGTTCAAGCCATTCTCCTGCCTCAGCCTCCTAAGTAGCTGGGACTACAGGTGCCCGCCACCACACCCGGCTAATTTTTGTATTTTTAGTAGAGACGGGGTTTTCACCATGTTGGTCAGGCTGGTCTCCAACTCCTGACCTCAGGTGATCTGCCTGCCTCGGCCTCCCAAAGTGCTGGGATTACAGGCGTGAGCCACTGTGCCCGGCCCACTGCCCTCCCTCTGAATGTCACTGAGGATTAAATGAGGATGTAGTTCCCACATGCATCCCACAGTGCCTGGGACATAGTGAGCTCCCCAAAAGCACCAAGCTTAGCTGGGAAGCACAAAGGGTGAGGCATGGACCTTATTTCACAGCAAAGTGGCTCAGGTGGAGCAGGCAAGGAATAGGCAAATCACGACATGACATACGGATTTCCATGGCAGGGAAATGCCCCCGTAGCCTGGCTCTACCATTGACTCGCCGTTCTCCTACCTCGCTGGGCCCCCATCTCCTCACCTCTGGGCTTACTTCCAGCTCTGGCCCCTGTGCTGGTAGGAGGCCCGGCTAGAGGTTAGGTACCATCTTTTCCAGTCCCCAAAGTGACAGTGTGTTTGTGTGGGAGGGAAATTTTAAAACGGGGC